AGAGGTGACGTCGGTGGCGTCTCCTCTGAGGTCGTCACCCCGGACAGCCCGGATCGGCCCATTCATTGCACTTCGCGTTTGTAAGGTTGATCTTATGGCCGATATTAATGAGGTCAATCGAAGGGACGTGTAATAAATGCGATCTGACGGTTACTTTCCTGTCGGTCACGAAAAGTCGCGCAGCTTTTACGTGGCCTACGTGGCAGGCACGTGTCATCGCCTCGTTAAATTCCCGGAGGATCGTGTATGCGTCGGTTGGCGGCGGTTTCGTCTTTTCGAATTTTTGAATTTTGAATTTCCCACACGTGGCGGAATCTGATTGGGATCTAGCCTTTATAAATGGATCCCCTTGTCACTGTTCTCCTCCTTCTCATTTTCGCAGAGTTTTGATTTCCTTCGACTTCTTGAGGAAGAGACATACAAGCGGTTTTCGGCTCGGAATCTTCGCTTTTGTACGGTAATTTCTCCACTTTTTGACCTAGCTCTTACTTTTTCTTCTCGACCATGTCTTCGCCCCCTCAGCCCGGATCTGGGACCGGCGCACCCGGAGAGGGTTCTGGTTCCTCCAGCGACCCATTTCCGCCCGCAACGAGCAAGTCCACGTCCTATTCTCCGATGACGGCCGAGAGGGCTCTGGCCGAGGCGGTGCCGATTTCTATGGTCCGCCCAAGTTCCCCTCCAGCCGATCCGAGCCTAAGCGAGAATTCCAGCGTCGGGCCGGATTTGAATCGGGCCGTGGGAGCAGGCGACGAGGCCGGCGTGAACGTCGACTTCCTTAGATCCGACTCGGATGTCGACCAAGATTTAGTCGACGAAACCCTCCGCGGCGATACGGGGGGCCGAGAAAGGATGCCGATGGGTCGTGGTGACGATACCACCGACGCCGAGATCGAGGCAGTTACTTCTGTCCCTCCAGGTTTTTGGCGCCGTCCTCCCCGAGTTTGGGGAACCCACAGCGATTCCATGGCCTGGTTCATGGCCTCGGCGATAAACGACGCCGATTTAGTCGAATTGCGAAGCAAGTTTAATTTTGGCCCGGGAGTTCACTTATTTGCGCCCTACCCCGGGGAGCGGATCCACTGCCCGCCGCCGGGATGTATTGGGGTCTATCGAGACAGCATTCGCCTCGGGCTTAGGTTTCCCCTGGCGGGGGCACTCAGCGACATCCTTTGCGAGTACGAGGCCGGTATCAGCCAACTCACCCCGTCAGTGTTTGCTCGGCTCCTCGCCCTAATAGTGATGTTCCGGCGGGAAGGGTGGCCCGATCCTACCGGGGCCGAGGTGAGGGCCCTGTTCGGCCTCAAGCGGTCGGGAGACACCGGGAACTATTACTTGTCGGTCCATCCGGGGATTGACAAGACATTGGTAGACAAACTCCCGGAGACCCTTCACGACTATATGGCGGGATGGTTCTGGGTCGGAGGCGACTGGAGGGCCGAGGACGCAGCTCGTCACCCCTCCACTTATTTCATTACTCATAGAAGTAAGGAGTACTTTTTTCGTCTTTTCCTTGTACTAATTCAATCCCTTTTGTGCTAACAGGCCGGTGTTTGCGTTTTCAGTCCAAAATCCGGTTCCCGCCCTCAGCGAGAGTTTATCGACGCGCGTCGCAACCCTGCTCCGGCGTCCAACCGCAGACCGGAACTTTCGTCCCCTCGTGCAAGAGGGTAGCCTGCTCGAACACAATCTAAGTCCAGTCATCCTGAATAAGTCCTTTACCCCTGGTGAGTCTCTCTTTGGCCTGCCCTGTACTCCTGCCCGGGGCTCCCTTTGGGCTTTAATTCTCACGTTGTTTTGCCTTTTGCTGGGTCTGTGCAGTTTACTACCCCCTGCTTCGTCAACGCGGGCTCAGGACCATAAAAGAGGTTAAACAGCAACGGCGTGAGCACCCTGACCCTTTGAAAGCAAGGCTAAGCGACATGTCTGCCCGAATGAGGATTGCCATGGAGAGGGCGAAGAAAGCCCAGGCGTCCGGATCAGCGCCGACTGAGAGTGTGCCTCAGCCCGGCCCCGGCGTTGCGAGAGGGGGCCGGACTGACGGGCGAGGGGGTCGGACTGGAGGCCGCAGTACTGAGACCACCCGCGGTGCTGATCCCGGGCGCGGCGCCGGTCTGACTGGGGTGACCGTGGAGCCCCGTGTGACAAGGAGCCGGGCTCGAGAAGAGGAGGCGGCCTACCCTGACAAGGAAGCATCTGGCGCCGAGGAGCCCCTGACCAGGAGCCCGGATAGGAAGAAGAAGAAAGTGGACGAGGGTGGTCCGTCTTTCGCACAGGAGACGACTGCTGCCGGCGACACACCTGCTCCCTCCATTTATTTGCCTGTCGACCCCGAGATTCGGGAACATTTCCTCAAGGAACTCCCCGGTTTCCCCGACACCTGGTTTATCGATGCCAAGGCCGCCGCGGTTCCGGTGATTGCTAACGAGCACGGTCTTCCCGAGGCCGCCATACAGGCAGCTCGCCTCCCCATGATCGCGTGGACCCCCTCTGCAGAGGCGGCAACCCACCAATTGTCTACCACGCAGGTTATCCAACACGCGGCTGCCTCTATGGCCCGCTCTCTGGTCGAACTTGTCCATGTCGCTGCCCAGACGCGTGAGCTTGAAGCCGCAAAGCGCAAGGCCGATGCCGATCTCATCCTGAGCCAAACCCGGGTCCGATCCTTGAGAGACCGGGTCAGGGAGTTCGGGCCGCTCGAGCAGGAGCTCATTGTTCTTCGCGGGGAGGCCCTAAAAGCTAGGGGGAGGGAGGCCGAATTGGAGGAGGCAAAGAGGGTTGCCGAGGAGAAGCTTGAGACGGCAAGGGCCGACTGGGCTTTCGAGAAGGAGTCCTTGGAGAAAAAGCATGCTCTTGAGATGGCTACGCAAGACCAGGTCTTCCACCGGGACATGGAGGCTCTCCGCGCCCGGGTCCGGTCCTTGGGCGACCAAATGGACGCCCACAAGGAGGAGGCAATGGAATGGGCCAAGGCGAATGTGGCGGCTTTACAACCGCAGTTGAGCTACCCGGAAGTTCAGAACCTCTTTCAGAAGAAGATGATGGCTGACATGGATTCCGGGGTCGCTTACAATCTCTTTTGGCTCTTCCAGCGCCTTGATCATGGGCTCCTCTCCTTAGATGATTTTTGGGCCATCATGAATGCGAAGATCGCCAAGCATGGCCTGGAGGCCGAGTTCGAAGGGATGATTTGCGAGGTCGACGAAGACGAGGCGGAGCTGGTGCGCCATCGTCAGGGCTGGGCATACGGGCTTATTGTCGGTCTTCAAGACTTTGGCCCGAATCCGAGCGACCGGCGCCTGTCCGACGGGGAGAGGCTGAGGAACTACGAGTCTTTCCCTATCTTGGGCGATGATGAGGATGGTCTTACTCTGTTAGATCCGGGGCTGGCAGGCGACGAGGGAGCCGGTACTTCTGGAATGAAAGACGAATGGGAGGGTACGACCATCACCCCAGCCGGAGATCCGCCGGTCATCGACTTGGAGACCGACCCTGATTCTGCTGAGAGGGCCGCTGCCACCGTGGCTGCTGAGGCCGTGCCTGATCCCGAGGTCGACCTTTAAGGTCAATTTTATAGTTTGCATGTTGTTTCGGCCGAGTGTGGCCTTTTAAAAGATTGTTTAAGTTGTTTTTTTGTTGGTGTGTTCTTGGTGTGTTTTCGCTAAGTTTGCTATGTCTGTTAAGGACTTGTTAGATGCTTCATTATCGCCACTTTGGCTTTCTGAATGGATTTCCTTGTTTTGATGGTTTTTTGCCTTTGTTATTTGTTACCGAATTTTCCCAAGTTCAACTGGGATGCCGGGCTCGTGATCGTGCCCGGCCTTATTAATTACTGGGCCGGGCTCGAGGTCGAGCCCGGC